AAGGAGATTCCCTTATACTGTTCTTAATAAGAATCAGGAATGGGTGCCATCCTCAACATGGGCTTCCTTCTCTAAGAAGCTGGCTGCTCCACATGTCTCTAACTGAAATCAGGGAAAAGGGGAGGCAGTCTGGGGAGCACATACTCCATCCTTTGTGGATAAGACCCTAGAGTGGCAAACATCATCTTCATTCATATCTCAGTGGCCAAATACTAATCGCATAGCCACATTTAGCTGCAAGGGAGGCTAGGAATTAACATTTTCCACTGGTCAGCTTGTGCCTACCTAAAGCACTAATTTTGTGGGCAAGAAAGAGACCAGATACTGAAGGACAGCTAGCTGCACAAGATGGTCATATGCTTTGTTAATTTGTTAATGTATTAAAAAGCATAAATATATTTTCTAATGTTAAATCACCCTCATATTCCTTAAATAAATCCCACTTGATCATGCAGATTCTTTTACTGTCTTGTTGAGTTCTATTTGTGAGTGCTTTATTTAGGACTTTTACATCTGTGTTTATTAAATTTTTTTTAATTTTATTAAAAAATTTTTAATGTTTTATTTATTTTTGAGAGAGAGAGAGAGAGAGCATGATTTGGGTAGGGGTAGAGAGAGAGGGAGACACAGAATCTGAAGCAGGCTTCAGGCTCTGAGCTGTCAGCATGGACCCCGACACAGGGCTTGAACTCATGAACCCGTGAGATCATGACCTGAGCCAAAGTCAGACACCCAACAGACTGAGCCACCCACGTGCCCCAAAAATATTTTTAATTAAGTGGTAATACTTTAAATTTATGTAAATACTTTGCAGTTTTTAAGATCAGTTTATATACATTATGTCACAAGAATAAGTGATCATCAGGAGCTGATTGTAAAAAAAAAAAAAAGTAAATATTAAGTATATAAATAGAAATTCTCACAAATAGAGCACTGTAGCCTTTTCTTATTATTGTCTAAATTCCAAAAGGCCCTCCATCGAGGACACAGAGAATTGAAAAAGGATTTTTGATCACAGGAACCTAGGAGGGATGTTATCTCTCTCCAAGATGCACAGGGAGGAACAGGTTGGCCAGCCCTATAAAATACCTAGCACTCTGCTGGTGTTCTAGACATTCTCTTAATGCAGTGTTTTAATAACCTGATTTTGAATTTACAAGTAACGACTTTCTGGTTATTAAATATCTTTTAGCTTTCTGAACTTTTGCTCTGATCCCTTACTATCTGCATATACCAAATGAGATAATGGCAATGGAGCACTCCCCTGGGAAGGGAAGCACTAAAAATACAGAGTGCTCTTGCTGTTTGTCTGGCCACCAGGTCATATGTGTGCCTCTCACACGTTGTCTCACAGGGCTCAAGAGCCTTTCCAGAATACACAATAATTATATAACAGCGGTCACTCAGTAGTGTACAGTGCCTTTGGGAGGGAAATAAATGGTCCGCTGACATAATTTCACAAAAAGCCGCACTCAGAATGATTAGGTGTTACAGTAAACATGGAAGCACCCAAATAGCAGGGTCTCTTTGTAGATTTTACCCCCACGAAATATGCTACTTGTTAATTTCTCTTCCCTGAGTCGCTGAGTCTCCCATGTGTCCTAGATTAGATACTTAGGGCTACATGTAACTGCGAGATCACTCGGCTTTCAGCATGTTCTCACCTCTTCTTCTCTCCCTCCCTCACACACACCTTGGAAGCAATTACACTGCCGTATACCTGGGGAGAGTCTGCTGGCTCCTCCCTGACGGTGCAGCTGCACATTTCACAATGAAGCAAAGATCAAGGAGTTATCTGATTACTCACATTGGTACATATGTCTCATTTGAACGTGTTAGACCCTGTAGTAGTGTTTGCCCTCGATTTTGTGCATTGATAAGACTGATGAGATAATTCATCCGGATCCACTTTATTGTACTGTTTTTGGATACCCTAAGTACCTAAATTCTTTTTTTTTTAATTTTTTAACATTTTTTATTATTTATTTTTGAGACAGAGAGAGACAGAGCATGAACAGGGGAGGGGCAGAGAGAGAGGGAGACACAGAATCTGAAACAGGCTCCAGGATCTGAGTGGTCAGCACAGAGCCCGACGCGGGGCTCGAACTCACGGACCGTGAGATCATGACCTGAGCCAAAGTCCGACGCTTAACCGACTGAGCCACCCAGGCGCCCCGTACCTAAATTCTTAATGACTGTTTCTATTGGGACAAATGCATACCCTTTTTACCATGCACAATAACCCATAGCCTAAAGCACATAGAGAAACATCCAAGAATCCTTTTTTTTTTTTTTTTTTTTTTTTTTTTTTTTTTTTTTTTTTTTACCATCATTAGCCCTAGAAAGATGAATAAAGTTGAGGCTAAATAAATAGAACTGCCTCACTGCCCTTTTCACTGTTTCTCTTTCCAAGTGGTTATCCTCTGTCGTGAAGGTACACCAGTGATACAAACAACACAGGCAGTGTTAACTAAGCACTTATGTTTAAAATAAATGCTTTAAAATGGTTAATTATACTTTGCCCTACAGGAAGAGAAAATGTTCTCTTAGGTCCTTAAAAATGGATGATGATGTAATTTAAAACTGTGGATATCTAAAATTTGGTTGCCTGTTTTTAAAATGCTTAGCTGGGGTTTGACTCTTCATTCTTAGGCTCTATGGTCTTTTAAGTATAAGTATATAATAGGAAAGTTGTATGGAGGAGAATTAGCGAAGACAGAGTTAGGCCACCAGACAATAAATATGTTAAAAACTACACAACTAAAGCAGCCTGCTGCAGGTTCAGCAAAGGATAGGTCAGCCTTACTAAAAAGTCCAAAAGTAGATCCGAACAGATCTGAGAATTTAAGGGAAAAATAAACTGCATCCTGTCTCTTCTCTGCCTGTCACTTTATAAGAGCTGAGTAAATATTGTTACTAAATCACATTCAGGTTAAGATTTGAATGTAAAAAAAATCATGTTTTGAGAAGCCATTTTCAATGAGTATTTCTTTCACCTTGAGTGAGGAAGCACTTTCCAAGCAGAGAATTAAAAGTGAAGGCCATAAAGGAATATATTAATAAAATTTGACTGCTAAAAAATGTAAAACCTATCATGCTGGGCATAGCATAATTGAATTGTTGGATCACTATGTTGTACGTCTGAAAGTAATACAGTATTAGATATTAACTATACTTCAATAAAAATAGATAATTAAAAAGACTGAAATAGGAATAAAAATGTAGAATTTGTGCAAGTCTGAGCATACAAAGTCCCATAAATAACCCCAAGATCCCATCCTCAAAAATCTAATCCTAGAGTCCTGAATAGACATGCTTTAAAGATGGAAGTATGGAAGTAAATTAAGTGAAAAAATTATAATTCTACCACTACTTAAATACCTGTAAAATAGCTACAGCACTGGAATGAGCCTCACCAGGTCAGATTAGTCCAGTATATGCAGAAGATCATATTTCTGTAGAGACAAAACCCATCAGCAGCCTTAATCCCTCCCAAAACCTCAGACCACAGGCAGCCATTAGCCAAAGTAAACATGAAAAGAGGAGCATCAGAATTGTCAGTAATACTCTGCAAAGCTGAAATTCAAGCCATTGGCTTCAGTGATTCTCAGAAATAACAACCAAATCTAAACATTGGGGCTTTATGATTTGTACCATTGGGCCAATACAAAGGTTTTAGGGATTTTTAAAAATAGATAATTGATGTAGCACATACAAATACCTTTGTATATAGTTAGCTTTTAAAGTATTTATTCAGTGAAATGCCAGCAAGGAATTTAGGATTGAAAACTTGCATAGAGATCAAGGTCAAGTGAAAGCCCTAAGTAGCCTCTGAGAGCTTGTAACACTCTGAACAAATGTAATCTGGTAGTTCCGGTAGCTGACTGACCTCTGCATGTGAACAAGGTCAGCTTTAAGCAGCTATAGCAGTGTTTAATTTTGCCCCGGATCTACAACATCCTAATTGCAAATTTGCACCTTTTAATTTGTAGTGACCCCAGGAATGGGCTATGTCCATATAGAAGTGGGGCTCTTGAAGAACTTTATGAGCATGAATTGGGGTGATACCTGAGAACCTATCCTTGTGAAATTGAAATTAATAGTCTAGTTCAAGTATCAGCCACAGTGACATGTTGAGCTGGTCATTTTGGAGCTGAAATCATATCTGTACTAGAGACTCCCTGTAGAGTCCCCAGAACTTCTCACCAAGAGGTTGTGCCTCTCACAGTATAATAAAGAATAGGGACAGTGACCCAGGTAACTCAGACCCCCAAAATTGCCACTTTTGCTTCAAACTGTCCAATAATGGATATTATGGTAGAGGAGTATTTGACAGTTGAGGTAAAAATTTTGATATTATCTGTACAGCCTCCATCATCCCTTTGCTTGGTATGAGAAAATGCAAGCTGTTTACATTGAATTAGATAAAATAAGCATAAAATGGTTCTGAGACCATGATTTTATGTTTACAAATCATTAGAACTTGAAAGAGACCCATTTGGAGTTACTTTGGGTACTCAGCATAGGAGAAAATTGCCTTAGAAATGATAGAGAATTGAGTATTCCTGGTGCCATGAGAGGGAAAGAGAATGCGCAGACAGGTAGCATAGAACTGGGCATTTTACCCCTTTGCTATGGAGTAGTAGGTCCTCTTCCCCTCCTCAGTGTCTGTGAGATGCAACAGAGAACCATAAACTGGGCTAGGTAGGAAGGGGTCCACTTTTATCAGACCAGGGTCAGAACCTTAGAGAGCTAGAGAGTAGCATGATCATGAGTTCAATTTAGGTTCTTTTCTCCTATATAAGACAGCAGCATCCCAAGGTAACTGAAGGAGGTTGAGAATTTGACTCTGTTTCCAGCTATTAGACCTGGCATAGAATTATCAAAAGTAGGGTCATTATTTGGCTACGTGTTACTTTGACTAGACATTTCACTATGATTTCCCCCCTCTCTCTTATCCCCTTATCCTTATTGTCCCTCTCTTGCCTCCGTCACAACAGGTGTTGAAGACATCGTGGCAATAATGATTCCTGAACCAAAAGGGAAGGAGATAGTAAGCCTTCTGGAAAGGAACATCACCGTGACAATGTACATCACCATTGGAACCCGGAACTTGCAGAAATACGTGAGCCGCACTTCGGTTGTGTTTGTCTCCATCTCCTTCATTGTCCTGATGATCATATCCCTCGCGTGGCTGGTCTTTTATTATATCCAGAGGTTTCGATATGCAAATGCCAGGGACAGGAACCAGGTGAGTAGCAAAAAATTGTTTAATTAAAAATTACTATAAAAGTAATACATATTATTACATAAACTTTGAAAATCACAGAAAATACCAAGACAAAAACAAAATCACCTATTATCCCCACCCTCAACATAAACACTGTTACCATTTGCCATATAGTTTTACAGATTGTTCCCAAATACACATGTTTTGATATTTACTAGTGTTGTTCTGTAATGTTGAGGTATTTTGTCCCACATTCCTATTGCTCATTTTTTTGATGATTATTTACTTAGGCACATAATAAAGGGAGAAGGGAATGAGCTGAGATTGTGCTAACAGTGGCAACATTGTGTGAGAAAAGCCAGGATTTCCTACTGGTGAATGGAAGAAAAAAAAAGAAGATAAAAAATAAAAGCTATTTTAAAAAGCAATTAGGGGCACCTGGGTGGCTCAGTCGGTTAAGTGGACGACTTCGGCTCAGGTCGTGATCGTGGTATGTGAGTTCAAGACCTGCGTCAGGCTCTGTGCTGACAGCTGAGCCTGGAGCCTGTTTCAGATTCTGTGTCTCCCTCTCTCTGACCCTCCCCTGTTTATGCTCTGTCTCTCCCAGTCTCAAAAATAAATAAACGTTAAAAAAAATTTTTTTAAAGCAATTAATTTTGGATCAGATAAGATATATATAGTGTAAATGCAAAAGGTATAAAACAGTATGAAGTTAAAAGTGTTTGCCTTCCCATATCTGTCCCTCAGTTATCCAGCCATCTTCCTGGAATATCTTCTCTTCCAGGGACATTTCATGTGCTTACAAACACACACACATTTTTAAACAAATGATAGCACACTTAACTCTAGATCCTTATTTCTTACTTCTTGGAAATTATTCATCTACACACTAGCTTCAAGCTGCCTTCTCATTTTTAATGACTGTATAACATTTCATTTTCTGCATATTTCACATCTATTAAACCAGCTCTGTTAAAAAAAATGTCTGTGTGACATTAAGCACATTTGTGAGTATACCTCTAAGGTAAATTTTAGAAATGTAACAGCTAGGACAATGGTATGTGTATATTAAACTATGATAGATACTGCCCAAAGTCTGCCAAAAAGGTTGAATGAATTTTTATATTAACCAATGATAAACTAATACTGTTTATACTAATACAAACATTAGTATAGTACTCTTTATACTAACGTATACAATAATGCACTAATAATACTGTTTTCCCATATCCTTGGCAAAAGAATGTTAGGCCTTTTTGTTGTATGCAATTCGATTAGTTAAAAATGGTATCACATTTTTCTTATCACAAATAATGTTGGACATCTTTTCAAGCAACATAGAAAAAAGTGAAATTTTTTTCTCTGGAGTACCTGCTTATGTTATCTGACCACTATTCAGTTAAGTTGTCGGTCATTTTCTTACTGATCTGTGTAAGTCAAAGGAATTGATGAGAAGACTGTTAGTCATAAGACTTAACCAACATAAAACTGACAGTTTTATCCTCCCAATTTGTCATTGCCTTTGATTTATCTGTGGCGCTCTTTGCCATGAAGGAATTTGTGGGTTTTACATAACTGCACTTACCTTTTTATGTAACTCCTGAGTTTTGTGTAATGGATCTTCTGCAGCCCAAGACTGTAGAAAAACATTCTCTCATTTCCATCCACTACTTTTTATTTCACTTTTATGATTAAGTCTTTAATCTACAGAGAACTTATCTCAGCATAAAGAAGTAGAGAGCCAACATTGTTTCATTCCAGATGGCCTACCTCATAGATTTTATGACTGGTATTTATTCAATAATTAATCTTCCTCCCCCTCACATTCAGTATCCCCATTCAGCATATATTAAATACTCCTATGTATTTGGTTCTATTTCTGTGCCCTCTAAACTGTACCATAATCTATCTATTCATACTTCATTACCATACTATTTTGAGTACTTTAGCACTATAATATTGTCTCACAATCTTCCTTTATTTCTCTACCTTCACTTTTTATGTCTATTTTTATATAAATTTAAATTCCCTTTTATCTTTTTTAAACTTACAGAATAATTTCTAACCTTATGTGTTGAATCTTCCTAAGTATTGTATATGTTTGCCCTTTATTCAGTGATTCTTTTTTGTCTCCTACTAGCATTTTTAAATATTATTATCTAATCTTGCACATTTTTCTTATGTTTATTCCTAGGTATTTAATAATTGTGTTGCTGTTATAAATGAAATATCATTTTTCATACACAAATCATTTTTAATGACTATAACATGCCTTATTATTACCTTAATAATAATGGTAATATTATATAGTATTATCTGCAGCATGTTCTAAGAGTTCTCTATATGTTTTCACACATAATAGTCTTAACGACCCTTAATGAGGATTTTATCATTTTAATCAAGATGTTTAATTTTGACAAATGCCTTTTCAACAGCTATGGTCTGAGTTTTCTCTCTTGATGTGTTAGTAGGATTGTATTACATTAATGGATTTCTCAATATCAAACCATCCTGAATCTTCAATATATACTATTGTAACATATGCTAGATTGTATTTGTATTTTATTTGTTTTTAGCCTAATATTCATATGTGAAATTCATCCATAGTTTACATTTATATCATTTTCAGGTAATAGTTATATGGCCTTTTTTGAGAAATTTGCAAATTCTTCTCCTTTTTTGGTAGTCTAGAGCTGCAATATACAACATGTGTGTCACACAACCACTAACCATGTGTGACCATTTAAATTTAAATTAATTGTAATACAATGAAATTTAAAATTCTATTTCTCAGTTACACTAGCTACATTTCGAATGTCCTATATGTGCACTGCCATTTGGTAGACATTCGCATCATCATGGAAAGTACCATGGGACAGCCCGACTCATGAGCCTTTTAAATAGCACTGGAATTAGCTGATTCTTTTTTTATATATATTTTTAATGTTTATTTATTTATTTTGAGAGGGAGAGAGTGAGCATGAGCAGGGGAGGGACAGAGAAAGAGGGAGAGAGAATCCCAAGCAGCCTCCGTGCTGGCAGTGCAGAGCCTCATGTGAATCATGAGATCGTGACCTGAGCAGAAATCAAGAGTCTGACACTTAACCGACTGAGTCACCTAGGTGCCCCTGCAATTAGCTGATTCTTCAAGTTACAGTAGAAAATTTCTGCATGCCAGTAAGGTCTGGGTTATTGTTTAAAAGGACAACTCTTTGACTTCTTCTATTTTATGGCAATTGGTTTGTTTAAATTTTTGACAGCTTCTGGAACAATTTCTAAAAACATTATTACTGCATGTTTTCTACTTCTCAATTTGATACATGTTGAATCTAATAAATTTTGGCATTCAAAAAAATTACTAGAAGGGAAGACAAATCACCCATTACCCCATGGAGTTGTTAACAGTTGATGACATTACCTTTCAGGTTTTGTAACCACCTAAATATATATTTGGTAAATTGTGATTATATGTGTCTATGCATGACACACAAATATACATGTGAGCTTTGTATTCTATTTTTTTAATTAACTGGTGATCATTTCCCCTGTCACGAAATAATCTTTAAAACATGATTTTTAGTGGTTATATAGTAGTCCACTTCCACCACTTACCAAACATGGGCAAGTTACTTAATCTTTTCATGCTTTGGTTTTCTAAACTAAATGGGAATATATCTTCCTCTTATGGTTATGGGCTAATGTATATTTTTTAAAGCCTCTGAACATGAGGCTAATGACTTTTTAAGCTCTCAATAAATGGTATCCATTATTACTATCATATAGATTTCTTGATGACTACTTATAAATCCAACTCTACCACTTTTATTGAATATTCTGGAATTTAAGTGGACATGTGCTACCAGTCAGACACAGGCAATGAAAATAGACATAGAACTAATATATTCAGTTTCACTGGTTACTAAAGTTTACATATTAAGAAACTACACATATATAAATCAGTTAATGCTAAGATATCTAGCTAATTTGATAATGATGAATGAAAATGGTAACCCTATGTTTTTGAGTCTATGGATAGTCCAAGCCATCATTAGGCAATTCAGTCAACCATGAAATTTTAAGCTTGAATCTATTAGTTGATCAATTATTTCAATCACTGGGGCGCCTGGGTGGCTCAGTCGGTTAAGCGTCCGACTTCAGCTCAGGTCACGATCTCACGGTCCGTGAGTTCGAGCCCCGCATCAGGCTCTGGGCTGATGGCTCGGAGCCTGGAGCCTGCAGCCTGCTTCCGACTCTGTGTCTCCCTCTCTCTCTGCCCCTCCCCCGTTCATGCTCTGTCTCTGTCTCAAAAATAAATTTAAAAAAATTTAAAAAAATGAAAAAAAATTATTTCAATCACTAATCCGCTTTGTGCAGGTAAATGTAGTTTGCATGTCTCCAGGCATATGCGTACTCTGTGATTTAGGTGAGAAGCTGATTGGAATTGGATGGTGTGTTAAGTGGTTCATAGGGTTTAAGCTTCTACTCTGCTCCAATTTGATTAACTTTCCTTAAATTGTAAACTATTCCCCTCAGGGTCACTCCATGAATTGGGATCATGTTAAAAGTTAGCACTGTTTCCTGATCAAAATAGGCACTATACTTTGGTCCTTTGATGGATGGAATAAGAACATATAATTTCCTTTAGAAAAAGATTTCTCCTTTGATGGACAGTGCCCCATTCCACTCAGTAGAAAGCTTCAGCTATGCAAGCTATAGCTATAATAAGCCTCAGGTTAACTTAAGTCATTTATTTTTATTAAAGCAGTACTGGCCCTTCAGAAAGATTGACTCTCAGGTTAGTTGTAGGCTCACAGACAAAAATGCAATATCAAAGGTCTTAATGTTGCATTGGTGAAGTATTCAACCATTCAGGCAAGAGAGACCGAACTTGAATTAGGCAGGTGAGCACATCAGGTTCCGCTTGGCTTTGTGCAGATCACAACTGAAGAGCAGTCTCCATCATCTTACATGATCACTGGCTGGCGTGTCTTACTGTACCTGGAGAAGATCACTTCAGTGCC